GATGCGCAAACAATCTGGGGCTGGGAGCACCCTAGTGCTCCACCCTAGACCCAGCTGGCTGAAGCACCCATTGGCATATATGTGAACCAGGTCTGGGGGCACACTATGGCAGGGTCAGTCCACAGCAAACACTGGCACAAGTGAGAGCCAAGACAGCGTGCAGGCCAGGACAGGTCAGACTGTAATACCTGTCAATTCACAGTGTGCTGGGGGTGGGCCAGGCCAGGACAGGTCAGACTGTAACACCTGTCAATTCACAGTGTGCTGGGGGCGGGCCAGGCCAGGACAGGTCAGACTGTAACACCTGTCAATTCACAGTGTGCTGGGGGTGGGCCAGGAGCTGGATTAAGCTGGGCTGAGCCAGGCTCTAGCACCTGCTGGCAAATGACAAAACTAGGAGTGGGCCATCTCAGACTGGGCAAAGACGGACTCCCATTGAGACTGTTGAATGCATCTTGAGAATAGGATGCTGGACTCTCTGCCATTGTCCATGCCTACAATGTCAGAATACACTTGAATAGCAGAATGATGGACTTATAACTGATTGTAAAGAACCACACTATTGTAATGACATGGGAGAAATTAGTAGGAGGGGGTGTGGCTTGAAGAGGGGGAAGAGAAATCCTGGAGCCTATGGAACTATATCATGGAATGATAAATAAATGTATTTTTAAAAAAAAACAAAAACAAAAGAATCCAGACTATGTCCCAGATCAAGAGAAAATACTGCAATTAACTACAACCAAGGGAAACAGCTGAGGATATAAGGCCACTTTCAAATCAGAATAGTTCATGAACATCTAAGCCATTAAGGCAAGCGTCTTATTACACAAAACATTTCGTTTCCAAGTTTTTCTCTGTTAAAACACAAGAGAATAAAAGCCAAACAGAAGACAATCCCAGCGATTAGACCTCTCTGTAGGTGCAAATCCCTTTGGATTCAGTAAATTCCCCTAAAAATCTGAGTAAATGACAGACACACGGGAACTACAAAAAAATCATAATCCCTAAAGTTCCCCTCATCACCAAAAAGAACTAATTCAAGTCAGCCAGCTGTTGGCCAACAAACACCAACCTGATTTCCAGGCATCCCACTCCTGCCGCTGCAGTGAAGTAGCGGCAACAGAAACACACTAATAACAGGGGCTTACCTAGGTCTCTCGGGGCTGTAGAACTGTGAGTAAAAGTCTAAACTGTTTTCAAGAACAAGAGGCCATCTCTTGTTCATCCCTCATGAACTACTAGTTAGCACAGAAAAAAGCTGTTGCATCTTTATGTTGACTATTTTGGCCCAGAGTCGTCACCTTGATGCACCTCCTTTGCCCTGGGGATACAGCTTACATCTGTACATGCAAGGATTCTGCCTCACACAGTTTGCTTGCTTACGTTAAGGAGAGTCATCAACATAAATAAGGCAAGGCCAAGGCGGCAGGCAAACCATGGCTACATCACTCTGGACGCTGCTCCAAAATAATCTGATGTCTCTGACTTGCGGTACCCTAGTCCCGGGCAGACAAGATGGCACAGTGGCCCAACAGCTGCCTGCAGTGATGGTACCCCAGATCAGAGTGCCTGGCATCACCATCCACCTCAACTTCCTCTTCAGCTTCCTGCTAATACATCTGGAGGCAGCAGATAATGGCTCAAGTTCTTGGGTCCTACCAATCACCTGAGAAACCCAGAGGGAATGACTCCTGCTCGAGCCAGCCCTAGGAGTGGGCATTTGGGAAGGGAATCAGGAGACAGAAGCTCCCCTGCTCACTCTCGGTGCATGGGTGTGAATTCAATCACTTTATCTGTAACTCTTTCAAATAATCTTCTTAAATAAAAAGTTTTTTAAATTTCTGAAATTCTCAATATTATGAGTGTTCCCCTGATCAAAAGTTTACCAAGACTTCTCCCAACTCTCCCTTGTTAAGGGGGTTTCTATCCTGTTTTTAAAGATGTATTTTTATTTGAAAAGAAGATTTTACAGAGAGAGAAGCAGAGATAGAGGATCTTTCATTTGCTAGTTCACTCCCAAAATGGCCACAACAGCCAGAGCTGAGCCAATCTGAAGCTGGGAGCCAGGAGCTTCTTTTGGGTCTCCCACATGGATACAGGGACCCAAGGACTTGGGCCACCTCCCACTGCTTTCCCGGGCCACAAGAGGGAAGCTGGGTCAGATGTAGAGCAGCTGGCGACAAACAGGGGCTCATATGGGATGCCAGCATTTGCAGTCAGGGGATTAGCCTGGGCACCACCACGCTAGCCCCAGGAGTTCCTGTCTTAACATAAAGTTTCTCAAGAATTGAAAAGAGCAGACAGATTCTTCCTTGAATTACAATCCATCCTCGTCAGACACAGAAACCAATAACTACATATTACACTATCACAAATACTTAAAGCCATCACAGTAGAATCAGAATTCCAGTTGGCTTTGAGCCTTGCAATACTGGGAGAATTTAGGAATTTCTAAATCCTTTCCAAACAGGAATTATTGACCAGGAGGTTGTGGGAGCAGGTAAACAATTCACATTTTAAGTACTATGCTGCCCCCTGGTGTTGTCTTGTGTTTAATAAAAAAATAGCTCACAGAAATTTCTCAGAAATATTCGAATAGAAACTCAGAAGTCAGAACAAAAGAGACCTCATAACTCTTCCAAATTAGCATTTCATTTCATTGAGGAAGGAACTGGGTTTCTGGAGGATAATACAATTTGTTCCAGATCACACACACTGCTATCTATCCACACAGCAAGTACTGTTGAATGGAGCTTAACCCAAGAGCGTGCATTTCCCGGCTGATGGAGAAGAGCCATAGCGGGTGTGGGTGCTGGACAGATCATTTCAAATTTCCTCCACACCGCTGTTATCCCCAGTTTCCCAGCTATAAGAAAAGTTAAATACAATCAATTGCGAAGGCACTGAAGAGGTTCAGTGCCAGTGTTCATTCACCAAGCCCTTCCTTATTGCTGTAGTATGGTCACATTAGCATTCTGGTTAGTAATACAACCTTTTTTTAAGATTTATTTTTATTGAACAATTGGGTCTACAGAGAGGAAGAGAGATAGATCTTCTATCTGTTCATTCACTCCCCCAAGTGGCTACAATGGGCAAAGCTGTGTCGATGAGAAGCCAGGAGCCCGATACCTCCTCCGGGTCTCCCACATGGATGCAGGGTCCCAAGACTTTGGGCTGTCCTCGACTGCTTTCCCAGCGCACAGGCAGGGAGCTGGATGGGAAGCAGGGCCACCAGGATTAGAACTGGCACCCATTGGGGCTCAAGGTGCGTGCAAGGGGAAGACTTTAGCCACTAGACTGCCACGCCAGGCCCAATAAAACAACTTTAAAATACAAAGAAAACTTATTTTCACATTATCATAACCTTTGAAACATCCAGCTAAAAGGCATGCTAAAATAACCAGGATAATACAATCAATGCAATTAAATCTGGACTTTTTTAATTGGCATAAAATGAAGCTCAGAAAAATAAACCTGGACCTAGTGCTGAACTAGTACCCACATCTCCACTGGGGACGCCACACCAGGTCAAGTTGAGCAAAGCCAGCCTGCAAAGGGGAAGGCAGGAATTTCCACCGACCTTACTAAAAGTTAGCCATGGGGAGAGACCGTTGGCATGATGGCTAAGAGGCCAGCGGGACACTCACTTCCCATGCCAGAGCGCCTGAGCCCAGTCCGATGCCACCCTCAAGCCCAGGTCCCTGCTCCCTGAGATGCAGTGATGAGGACCGGCATGGTCCCTGTCACCCAGTGGGAGATCTACATGGAATTCCTGGCATTTCAGGAGCAAGCCAGTGACAAAATGTCTTCCTATGGCTCAGTCTCTCACTACATCTTTCAACTGATGTAAAAATTAAAATTCAACTGAAAAAATTAAAATTCAAAACTTAATAACAATCAGTTCACAATTTGTAAGCATAAGTGGCCTTTCTGCCTCTGTAAAACGAAGTCACCCTGTGACAAGGTGGTACAATGAATAGTGAAAATACACTGTAAACTCTGAAGTATCTAATAAGGTTGCTTGCTATCATCAGTTTAAAGCAATCCTACCTATTAAGTCTGTGCTCCTCACTGGGGATGGAAACCAGCATTAGAAAACTGAAAGCTGCTTGGGCTCTGCTTCTCAAAAAAAAAAAAATCTCTCTTTTCTACATTTCCTTCAGCTTCTGGTAAAGTTTACTCCAAAAAGTCTGATGCTACATCAATCTTTGACTCTTAAATAAGTTCCACTCAGCAGAGTCCTGATAGGATTGACAGAGCTTAGCCCTGACAGTCCACCACAACGCAGAGAAAAGGCGATTCTTCTGCGTGTGCCAGGGAGTCGACTAACATTGATTACGCTGTGATCCACAGCTTCGCTAATCCATCCTGACAGTGAGAGCTACGTGCTGAGCACTGCTCCGCTGTTTTTATATGTGGACTGATCCACAGATAAGAGTTCAAGTACCCGAGGACAGCAAAAAAAATGAGCGGACTTCTTGTCACTATACAAGTAGCCACTCACGCCTGAATTTGGGAGGTATACATCACTCTGGCAGTCAGCACTGAGCAGGAACCCACAAACACGAGACCAAAAACTTTACAGAAAATTTGCATTTGAAAAAAAAAATCATTGTGGCTGGATTTTCGCTTTCTGTGCCACAATGAACTCATCCTTTAATACCACTTTCCGTCAAGGTCATCAGTTGAACATTCACCATGATCCTGGCCCAGAATGAAGGCAAACAACAGGAAGGAATACTACAGGAGCATGGCAGGTGCTAGGAGAGAGCAAGTACTGATGGAGACCATTAGAGAAAAGACCAAAAAGTAACAAAGCTGTCAGCATCGCTGAGGTGGACCACACAGCTTACAGCTGCGGCTTCTTCAGCAATTAACCGGAAATTAACTCAAGCTCTTGGCTCAAGCCAACAACCAGGCCATATTTGCATCTGGAATATTAACATAAAAAGACTGTCAGAAACCAAATCAAAGATCCAGCAACTTGGACAGCTCACCGTGGAACACACTGTTATCGACCAGAAAGTGTCTGCGGTACTGCACGCAGTTCCTTTTCTCCAAGTTGCGGTAACTCATTGTCAGAAGAGTTCTGGCACGGCACCAACACCAAATTGCCCTGTCAAGGGAAAGAGAATGAGACAAACATGAGGAAACGGCAGCCACATGCTCACACAGGCAGCACAATGCCACCGGCTGGCCAGCATTGTAGGGCAACACATGTGGCACACAGCTTCTCTACACCCGGGGCTACAACCCCCCGGGCACTCAAACTTCCCACAAGTCCTCCTGGAGGAAAGAATGTCCTGTAGCATGCCAAACAGTAACTTCTTAGACAACACCTTCCACAGCGCACAGTTAACCGTCTCCAGGGAAAATACAAGCACACTCCAGAGAACTCATCAAAAATGAAACTGAAACATCATTTCATTTTGGTGTTTAAAAAAAATATTTTAGAACACAATCTTTTTTGAAAGCTTTATTTTTATTTTTGGAAATACAGAATGACAGAGAGGGAGAGCCAGAGGAGAACACGATAATGCTTCCAGTTGCTGGTTCACTCCCCACATGGCTCCGCAGCCAGAGCTGGACCAGACTATGGCCAAGAGTCAGGAGCTTCTTCCAGTATCCAACATAGATGCCTGGGCCCCAAGGACTTTGGGAAAGTAGCGAAAAGTGGCCAAAGTGCATCAGCAGGGAGCTGGATCTGAAGTGGAACAGCTAGAGTTCTAACTGGTATTTATATAGGATGCCATCCACACAGGCTGCTGCTTAACGCACTACACCACAATGCTGGCGCCTAAATACAGTCTTTGTCAATTTTGTTGAAAGACACACAGGGAGGAAATAATAGAAATATCTCACGTACTGGTTCATTCTCCAAATGTCCACAACAGCTGGGACTGGGCTAGGCCAGTCGGGGACCCAGAGCTCAAGGCAGGTCTCCTGCATGAATAGCAGGGACCCAACTACTAAAGCCATCATCTGCTGCTTCTCAGGAAGTAAGCAGGTGTAACCAGAAAAAGAGCCAGGACGGGCTGCCACACATTGCAATATGGTATGGACACATCCCAAACAGTATTTTAACCACCATAAAAAACATCTGCCCAAGTGTTTAAAAAAGCAAAGGAAAACAGATACAATGAATGAGTCTTCAAAATCTTCGTGAAAATAATTCTGCATCAAGAGAAACTTACCTTTAAATTTCACTCTTCCACAAATATTTGAAGCGCCCTTGGGAACCTATCATTAGGGAGCAAGTTTTCAGGACTGGTATGAGTATCTTAGATCTTACCCCTATCCAGCCAGGACCCAAGCGTCCATGTGGCCAATGCTTTAACTGCCACACAGCAGGCAACTAATAGAAAGGAAGCTCTTATGCCCAGTTCCTGAATTTTGTGTTGGAACCACCATGGTGGGCTAGGAGTGACACACAGAAGAAACGTCAGAAACTCAATAGCATCCGTACGCTCGCAGATCCGCCCAAACACGGCCACAAAGCGATCCCCTTCGCTGGCTCATTACAGGTGTCCACTGAGCGTCACCAGGACCCGAAGCTGCTTAGCTTGACCTCACTGGTATGAAGACAGCTGGGCACAGGCCGCAAGTGGAGTAAATGCGCAGCAATGCTCCTAAGCCTTGCCCACCCTCCCCTCCAGACATAGCAACAATGCAGAGCAGCAACTCGAAAAGCAGAGATCTGAGCTGATGAATTCCACCCCTCCCACGGCTGCTGCGCATCACCCTCAACAAGGCCCCTTTTGTTCGTATGATTTGGCCAAGGCAACTTTCCAGAATTCTAACCTCCTTTCTGTTCATGAAATGAAACCCAGAAAAACCAAGTAAGGCTGGCATGAAGTAAAAAATCCACAGGTAGGAAATAATTTGTCATCTGTCCCTCCAAAACAACCTGGAGTTTTGCAAAAGTACCTCAGGATGAAGTCAGCCATTAACCAAGAAAAAATAATAATAGTAATTACAGTGGTGTTAATTCATTAATGGTCCAACTAAAGGCTCCTAAAGCTTCTATCAGAGCTTGTCCTTGGCTCACATTCATCCACAGCCCTCCCGGGGCAGGTCGTAGCTAACCCCAATTTTTTCCCTTTGCTGGCTCCAACCTTGGGCTCCCTTCATCCCCTCCAGGCTAGGTCTGGCTGCTTAGTCTAAGTCCTAAGGCTTATGAAGTCTCACTGCTGAATGCAACTAATTTTAAAATAATAAAAAAAAAACAAGATAAAATAGAGGATTATGGAAACAACCCCTCTGCCCTCTCCCTAGACAATACAGCATACATAGACATCTCTCTCTATATATAAGAAATTTTATATATACTGTAATATATATACATAGCAGGTGCTATAGCAGAATGAGGTAAGCTGCCATTTAGGATGCCAGTCTCCCTTATAGCTCCTGGTTCAAATTTCGGCAGCTTGGGATGCAGCTTCCTGAGACAGCATTTGGGAGGCAGGTGATAACCTAAGCACCCACCTGAGTGACAGATGGGGTTCCTAACCCCTGGCTTCAGCCAGGGCTATCCCTGCCTGTTAGGAGCATTTGGGGAGTAAATCAGCAAAGATAACTGACTCTCCTCCTCAACCTGTCACTCTGTCTTTCCAATTAAAAAAAAAAAAACTGAGTGCAGTTTGGCTTTTTCTTTTTTTAAATGTGTCAAAGCTGAGCCTCCTCACTAGCTCAGAGGGAGCAGAGGACAGTATAACCAGGTGCACATGGAGGATATGGCAGTCCATCGGATCCTGCAGAGGACAGCTGGTACCACAACAGAGGACTGAGGACAGAGCAAACTGATCAACTACCCCAGCCAAGCATTGACAGTGAAAATCTGGCAAACAAACTCCAAGGTGGACTATGTCAGCCAGTGGATTCTGGAGAGATTTCATCGTGCTTGGAATGATGAGATTGGCAGCAATTCAGAACTGTTGAACTATCAAACCTACTTGAGCAAGACCCTCGGAGCATGCCCCACATCGGGGACCCTGGGATGGGTGGGAGGCTGGGTGGGGCTTCTCCCTTTATCTTCCCTCTTACACCAGATAAACACACAAAAAAATGTGCAAACAATGGTCTTACTTTCCTGTAACCCTTGACCCTTTGTGCCTTAATCAGCTATGTAAAGATTATCAAAATAAAAGAAAAAAACTGCACTATTAAAGTATTTTTAATATTTCATAAATAATTATATACATTCATTAGTTTTTAAGATTTACTTATTAGAAAGTTAGGGGGAGCTGGGTCATAGAACACAACAGCAATCTCCCATATGCTGGTTCACTCCCCAGATGACCACAACAGCCAAAGCTGGGCCAGACCAACACCAGGAGCTTCATCCGAGTCTCCTACATGTAAGCACACAATCATTGGGGTCATTTTCCATTGCGAATTTCTCAGGTCTTTAGCATGGAGCTGGATGGGAAGCAGAACAACTAAGACAAGAACAGTGCACAGGCAGCAGCTTTATCCACTTTACATAAATATATAAAGACTTTAATAGTGCAGTTTTTTAATCGGAGTTAGATCACAAGTGGAGCAACCAGGATTCGAATGAGCAGTGCCAGCCCCAGTGACTCATTTCCAACAAAAATCAATGACCTGGAATTGATGCGATGGGTCTCCCTAAACAAGCTCACAAAAAAAAAAAATGCTACAGCTTCTGCCCAAGTGCCCGGCTCTCTTGTGGTTTCCTGACAAAAATTAACATCAAACTACCAAGATGGTAATAAAACCAATTACAAAGAAATAGACATCCAAGAGTATCACTTTGAACTAAGAAAAACAGGAAATCGTTTTTTGAGAAATAATCATTTGCCAAGACTAATAAAACTTGACCAAAAGAAGATCGTTGGGAGCTAGGGAGAGAAAACCTTCATTTTGCCACAGCAGGTTAAGCTGCTTCCTGCAACCCTGTCATTTCCAATCCCTGCTGCGCCTGGAGTGGCACAAGTAGCTCAAGTGCTTGGGCCCCTGGCACCCATGACACAGGTGAGGGCCCAACATCCTGGCTTCTGTCGGCCCTCACCTGGCCCAGCCACATTTGCTGTGAGCCATCTGGGGAGTGAACCAGCACATAAGATCTGTCTCTGCTTTTTAAATACATATTTGAATCTTATTTGTAAAAATTATCACACTTACACCTACTTAACCAAAGCCTCCCTTAGTAATAAACACCTCATTTTCCCCACCTATTCTGGAAATAGCACCTAAGTTTTTGTTTTTTCTGAGAAAGTTTTCCCACTTTCTGTTCAAGAGATTTAGGTGTTATCAATCCTATCACCTATGTTTTTTACATTTTTACTTATTTTCATTTGAAACACACATAAAAAAGAGACAAAGATCTTCCATCTGCTAGTTGACTCCGTACATGCCTGCAACAGCCAATCCAACGCCAGGAGCCCAGAACTCCATCCAGCCCTCCCACAGTGACAGACAGCACCTGCTCCCTCCCGAGCAGCACATTAGCAAGATGTTACACGGGAAGCAGAGCACCCGGGCTTCAAGCCAGGCATTCCAACAGGGGACGTGGCATTCCCAAGTGGCTGCTTCATGACTGCACCAAACACCCAGCCCCCTGACACGAGTCTGTTTGAGCTACCGGAAAAAGAAATCGCCACTTTCACCCAGCCCCCAGACACAAGTCTGAGCTATCAGAAAGAGAAATCTCCACTTCTGTTGGACTTGAAGCGTGGCAATACAAACCTCAAAACCTAAAGGTGGCTATTTTGTCAGCACAAGACAAAAATCTGAAAAATTAATTCTAATCTAGAAAAGTGGAGAGAAACATTTTAATGTCTTTAAAGACAACTCCTAAAACTACATCTGTCCCTGCAACTTTTAGTTAAAACTTATGTACTCTGAATTAGGTATGCTGCCACTGGTAACCAGAGTCCTGATTGGTAAAATACGTCAGCATAGCAACAGACTGTCATGATATCTCTGTTCTGTTTCAACAAGTGATTTCATGTGGATGGGGGGACTTTGGACAAGTGTTTGTCTGGTCTTGAGCTCAAAAACGTAACTGTTTACTTGGGCATTCCTTAGACATATGCTGCATCCAGGTCCTTTGATCTGATCGAAAGG